ATCGAAATAAAACTCGATGGACAGCAGTTTTTGCGGATTTTGTTTTTATCATATCTTTTGATCCAGAAGTCCAAATAAGTCATATAATATGTCATTGGAAATCTCTTGAAGTCTACTTTCCAACCCAATTAGAATCAGAATAAAATATTTTGTAGATAAAAAGATATGACTGAAATAGTGAAAAGGGGTCAGTTTTGGATAAAGTTTCATATTCCATTTATATCTTTTTCGTTATAGCTTGGATTTAATATTATAATATATCATTGGAAAGATAATTTCAAGATTTATCCAACCATTTAAGATTTGGATAAAGATTATGAGGAAAAAAATAATATTTTTCTGTCTTTGAACTTCTTTAAATTCGAATAGAATTAGGATTAAAAAAAGGAAAGTTTTTATAAAAGGAAAGTTTTTATTTAACTCAAATTCTTTATTCTTATCTTTTCAAAAAGGATAATTAAGATATTTTAGAAACTTATAGAAGCTTATAATTAATCCTAATTAGTTTAGGAATAGGATTAAACCTTTGGGACCCACAACATGATCATTGGGCCGTAGGTAAAATCCGGTTTGGGCTCAGTTTAGTATTTTGGCCATAACTTCCTCATTATTCATCGGAATTGGGCTCACAATATATCGTTGGAAAGAATTTTTCAAGCCCCATCCAACTACACTATTATTAGACACATATCATGGAACAAACTAAACTGGGATGCACGTTTTTCATAAATAGGGTAAGAAAAGAAATATTTTCAAAAACAGAAAGAAGAGATATTTTAATAAAAACATCCTCATCACTAAACTTTTCACACTTTCACTTTGTTCGATAATAAAATGACATGAAAGGTATTCATCACTGGGTTTGGTTTTGGGGAGACACATTTGGGTGTCTGCAAAAACAAAAGTCGAAGTAGCGATAGGGACGGAGAATGATTCAGAACGTTCTGCGATCCTAAATCATTCTTGTAACACCAATACCTGCAAAATAGCGTTAGTTAAACAGATAAGAGAGTTAAGAAATGCCTATCTTGCACCGTCGAGCACACGTCTATGAGGGTAACTGTAGACACCCATTTGTGTCTCCCAAAAACCAAACCCGATGATGAGTACATTTCACGTCGAATCATAATCGAATGAAGTGAAAGTGTGAAAAGTCTAGTGTTGCGGTTAGTTTTTATTTCTTTTCTTTCTCTCTGTTTTTGAAAACCTATTTTAAGAAAACAACCAATCTTGTTTGTTTGGTCCATGGCAAGGGTCCAATAATAGTGTATTTGGATGGGTCTTGAAAAGAGCTTTCCAACGATATATTATAAGCCCAATTCCGATGAATAATGAGGATGTTATGGTCAAATTACTAAACTGGGTCCGGTTTGATATTTATATGCGGCCCAATGGTATAGAGGAGGGCCTAATATTGATTTATCATTCCTAATGCGATTAGAATTGATTATTGTCTTCTAGAAGGTTCTTTTCATTCCTAATTTAATTCGCATTGATAAATTGACTTTAGTTGGCTTTTAAGAGTTTTAATCAGAATAAAAGAAGTGTTTTTAAGGAAAATACGATTTTGCCCTCTCGTACGGCTAAATTTTATCTAATTAAGAAAACGCGTGGAAATTTATTTCCAGAGTCTGACGACAGGACCAATGCCTGGCGCCATACCTGGCGTCTGGCGCTAGAGTCTAGCGTTTGGCGCCACGTTGTTTTATTATTTTCAAAACTCTGATTCGTTTTTTTTTATCACATCCGGCTGATTTTCTCTATAAATAGCCTCCTAAAACCTCCGTTTTCCATCACCAACTCTCATCAAGAATCTCTTGATTACTCTCTCTCTCTCTTTTCTAAACTAGTCTTTTTGCATACAAAATTCCGCATTCACAAGATCTAGACACACCTAGCCAAGTTCGAAGTTGCCTTCGCCCTAGACGTGAAAGGTTTGATAATTTCTGAGGGTTTGGTCCCAAATCTCTATTTCAATTATCTATAATTTTTTGTTTTATTATTTTCCTTTGAAGTTACTAACGTGTGTATTTTGTTATTAGAAAGAGATACGAGGCATCCAAGTAAGTGCATTAATTGATTTATTGATATTATGATATAGAAGTCATGTCTAGATTATTATTATGATGATTCCTAGTATCATGTTAGTTGATCTTCCTAGTATCATGTTTAGGGTAATAAATATAATTTCTAATATCAAATATGACAACTGTGATTCCTGTGATGTTTCCTATGTTCTTCCTAGTATTCTTGTTAGTATCATGTTAGGGATAAAGCTTTGATTTTTAATGTTTAGTGACATGCTAGGGTTTGTTATTAATCTTGTTAGTATTATGCCTAGGATCTTGCTATTATGCTTTAACATGATTATTGATTATAATTATTTTTATAATGTTTATAATTGTTATGATTATTGTTGCTTGATTATATTTATTGTTATTGCTTGATCAAACCTTTTATGCATGTTTAAAGGGAGTTGGTACTTGTAATCACGCTTAATAAGATAATTAATAATCTTATTTAGGGTTAATATGATTATAATTCAAGTGATCGCCAATAATAGTTTTATTTGTGCATTAATATTCAACCAACGTAGATAAACATGTTTAGGATTAATCCTATTGATTGCATGTTAGTCAGAATGCGCACATGAATACGATCAGAATAAAGTAGAGGCCTATTATTAGGGCAGGTTCAATTGCTTTTAGGTTGGATTTGTACCTTCATCCCCGAACTACCAGTCATGGTTCCAGACCTATTGGAGTTGACGATCTCCTGGATCGTTAAGGGGTGTAACCTTCACCTCGTGGACGATTTACCAGTTCCTGAAACTTGTTGGCGACTCTTTTGCTCTATCTTCTTTCCCTTTGGACGCCACCGTACTTTAGTGTATGATCACAGTGGGGTTTAAATGTGGGTTAATGCTTGAAATATTCCCTATAGTAACCAATTTGTTGCTACATTTGTCGTTGTGACAACCTTCCAAAAGCTAGGGAATGTCATCTTGCTGTTTTGATGTTCACTCGTCTCTTAACAATGGAGCTTTTCTGGATATGTTCACGCGTCTCTAAACAAAGAGCTTTTTAATGATATGCCCAGGCGTCTCTGAGCAAAGAACTTCTTTTTTTGTTTTGACGATCCTCCTCAAGCTAGGGGATACCGCCTGATGACTGCTACACCTGTAACTGCCTCCAATGCCCGCTGTGATAGTCTTCTGCAAGCCAGAGAATACTATCGAAGATTGCTTTGCCTGAAACAATCTTCTACCGCCTTGTGATCATCTTCAACAAGCTAGGGAACATGATCGAAGATTGCTTCGCCTGAAGCCATCCTCAGTTGTTGCGATAATATTCCGAAGAAAATTACCGAAGACCAACGCTTGTTAATCCTTAAAGCTTTCTTGAACTTTGCTATTGATGCTTTGGGTGATGACAATCCTATTTTCTTTAAGAACAGTTGTTAACGCGACTCTTGTATGATGTATGACAATCTGATTTAGGGAAAGTTGTCAATGCCACGTAACAATCCATCCCTGGAAATGTTGCTACGATGAAGCGACAATTCGTATCTCGGAACATTTTCCAAAATCCAATTTTGGGAAAAGTTTCTATGTTTCGTAACAATCTGTTATAAGAAATTTGCTACGATCGACAATCCACATCTTGGAATATAACTCTTGAAAGCGATCCACCTTGGAAATTTGCCAATGCTATGCGACAATCCTTTTTTTTTTTTATAAAAATTTCCACAATTGACAATCCGCATCTTGGAACATTTGCAAAAAAAAGAGTCGACCGACAATCCACTTCGGGAAAATTTGCCACTTACTGAAATAAATGACAATCCACGTTGAGGAACCTTTGCCGAAATTCATGATGAGTAGAGACCTACGACAATTGTTTGGAAATATTTCCATAAGGAACTATGTGTATGACAATCCAATCTCGGAAAACTTGCCAGAGATTATAATCCGAACTTGGAAAAATTTTCCAAACAAAGAAGGAGTACGACAATCCACGCTTGGATACTTTTCCAGAGATGACAATCCAATCTTGGAAAAATTGTCGTATAAATTCTTGCTTTTTAACCGATGCGTTAGTGCTTGTAATGAGCCAATGCTTAGGCGCTTAAGCTAAGTGAGACGATCGTCGTCAGGTCAATCGCTGAATGCAATTGTAATCGAGCCGACTACTTATCATGTCAATTTGCTTATAGGGGCTAACTGGCGTACCAAGGAACCCAATCAATTAACATGACCGCCGTCAGGTCGATCGACAATCAAATATGATTGCAATCAAGCTGACTCTAGTTGATTTGCTAAGTTGTTGGTGTCCTTTTGCTTCAAACCTTTTGTAAAGCTTACCCGTCCGTCTGGGACTTAGTGAACCTGCATTTACATTTTGGACTATAGGACTTTGCTCATGTAATTAGGGTTGACCTAAGACTTAGTGTTGCTTGACTCATTGACTTGACACGACTCAAGGTATAAACTTGACTTAACGATGACTGATTTCGTGTGACTCGTGTGTGCGTAGTGTTGACTCATGTAGCTCGATATGTACATGACTCAAAATGCAGAAAAACAAAAATTTCCGTCATTTTTGTGGAGGGTACTGACTTTCTCCCGAAAAAAAGACCCAAAAAGAAGGAAGCGAAGTTTTTGAAGGTGCATGTTGAATGAGCTTTAATCCGTTAACGTTGTCTCTCACAGTACAAGGATTGTAACATCTTAACTGTCCTAGTTTATTTGGTAATGAAAGTATTTAGGTAACTTAGGCATGGAGGCTAAATAATTCATACTTTGTGATGCAATGATGAGTGATGTTGATATGACAAGGCATGCTTCAGCGTTGTGTTAAGATTTCATGACAAAGGGTTCCTAAGGGAAGTATATTTGGTCATGTATCTGTGATGTGTGTGATAGTGACACTAAAGTTAGGCCGCAAGGACTAAGTGTGTGGAAAAATATATTGAAAAGAGTCAAATGGTGGTGACTCTTAGGCTGGGTAGGCTAATATAGTATTTTTTGTTTGGATCTTGGTTTAGAAGGAAGTTAAAGAGAGATTTTGTAATGCTCTTGTGTGCATAAAAACTTTTAAAAGGTGTATCTTTTCCGATAGGGATCTTGATATGAAATGAACCATAAGATTTTGAGGTTTATTGCCAGAATGCAGAAGCTTAGTTGGATTTCAGTTCATCATTTGGTTTTTGTAGTTAGTTCATGCCTGATATAAGTATCTATAATTCAGATTATTTTATCAAGGTATAAGATTATTGGAAGCTCGTATGATTGTGTAGCCTGTGTCATGATATATTTTAGATTTCCCCAGATTAAAGCAACTCCTTGGCACATGGTATATTACTTGTAAATGTGTTTTTTTGTATTTTTTGTTGAGTTAATTTTGTTTTTTTTTTTTTTGCTGAATTTTTTTTTTTTTTGGATTCTTTTGCTGAATTTTGGTTGGTTTGATTTTGATTACAGCCAACAAAACGATGTTTGTGATTCAAAAGCTGGTGCTGATCTTCTTGACATGATTCTTTGCAAGGTAAATTCCTTTTTATTATTTTTATTTTTCATAATTAAATATTTTGTTTTGGGCATTAGAATCTAGGTTGATATTGTGCTCTCTTTAATGGGGAGGATAAAGAAATGTAATTTATTGTATATGCTTTTGCTCACTTACAAGATGATGAAGTAAATAGGTAAGGAGTGGTAGTGTTTTATGTTGATTATATTTAGCATTGTTATTCATTCGTTGCTTATGTGTAGTAGTTGCATCAGCTATAATGCGGGAAGCTGTAGTTCTTTGAGTTGAAATAGCATTAATTCTCCCATAATCTCTGGTGATATTGAGGTTGTGCTATCTGTATGACTGGTCTAAAAAGGTGATTTCACATTATAGTCCATTACATATCTACCTGTCAAAATTTGCAAATTTGGCCTACTATTTTGTAATAGTCTCTTGATGTTCACTACTAGTTTGGTTGTTGACAGAAAACTTCTTATGTGAGCATAATGTTATTAATTTCATTAATTTCGAAATTTAATCAACATCTTTAGTAGTGCTCATTATTTAGCATGATAAATATAATTAGATGATTTGAAGATAATAAAATGGATAATTACAATTTAGTAGTGCTCATCTTTCACAGTTGTGAGGACTTTCTATTTCCCTTTTCTTTTCTGACATTTCTATCTTATGCATTCGAGCTAGTAGGGAAGCCTGAACCAAAACCTTCACCAACTTCAGAAAGTGGTACATTTATTCTCCATACTTAATCTGGTAAAATTACAAGGGGCATAGCCTCGCAAGGCTGTTGGTGCAGCTGCTGCTGCCTCGCAGGGGTGCAGCTGCTGCTGCAGCTGCTGCCTCGCAGGGGTGCAGCTGCTGCCTCGCACTATATGCCGACTTTGCTGCTGGTGTTCTGCTTCTGTGCTGCTCCTTATCTGGTGTTCTGCTTCTGTGCTGCTCCTTATCTGGTGTTCTGCTTCTGTGCTGCTCCTTATGTGCTGCTGTTATGCTAGTGTAATATTACAACATTTATTTTATTTTAATTTTTTAGACAAAAATTGTAATATTACAACATTTATTTATGAAATATGTAAGTTTATATATATGTTAGTGTTTATTTACCAATTTAAGTGGAAAAAATGCAAAAAAAAAAAAAAAAAATTTTTTTATTTTTTTTGCCCATTATTGGCACCGGTTTTGAACAGGAACCGGTGCCAATAGCCCCTTAAAAAAAACCGGGAAGTGCTATTGCCACCGGTTGGTGGCAATACTTGTTTTTGCCACCGGTTTTGAACAGGTGGCTTTTTATACGAGTATTGCCACCCCCCAAATGCCCACCGGTTAACCGGTGGCAATAACAATCATAAATATTAGGAAGAAAATAAAAGGCATCATACTTTTAATCATACTTGATATTAGGATTTTTAGTTGTTACCCTAACCATGATACTAGGAAGATCAAAACACCCTAACATGGCGCTAGGAATCATAATAACAACCTAAGCATGATTTCTATATCATAATATCAATAAAAACCATTAAATCACTTACTTGGATGCCTTTGTACCTCTTTCTAATAACAAAATACACGAATTAGTAAATTCAAGGAAAATAATAAATCAAACAATTAAATTAAATAATTGAAATAGAGATTTGGGACCAAACCCTCAAAAATTAAAACCTTTCACGTCTAGGGCGAAGGCAACTTCGAACAATGCTAGGTGTTTCTTGGTCTTGTGAATGCGAAATTTTGTATGTAAAAGGGCTTAGTTTAGAAAAGAGAGAGAAAGAACTTATAGAGAGAAGAGAATTAGAGAGTTTTTGATCTAATTGAGAATTGGTTATCAAAAACGGAGATTTTAGGAGGCTATTTATAGAGAAAATCAGCCAAACGGATAGAAAAACAAATCAGAGTTTCGACGAGGAAAAAAGAAGTTAGCGCCAGGCGCTAAGGCTAGCGCCAGGCGCTAAGGCTAGCGCCAGGCGCTAATGTCTGTCTCAGGCGCTAATTAATTTTTTCACGCATTTTCTAAATTCAGATAAAATCGTATTTTCCTTAAAAACACTCTTTTATTTCGATTAAAACTCTAAAAGGTCAACAAATGTCAATTTATCAATGCTAATTGAATTAGGAATGACAAGAACCTTCTAGAAGAATTTAGAAAACTAAAACCAATCCTAATTGCATTAGGAATGATAAATCCATATTAGGCCCTCCTCTAGATCATTGGGTCGCATATAAGGCTCAAATCGGGCCCAGTTTAGTAATTTGGCCATAACTTCTTCATTATTCATCGGACTTGGGCTTATAATATATCGTTGGAAAACTCTTTTCAAACCCCACCCAACTACACCATTATTGAACTCATACTATGGACCAACCAAACTGGATTGACTGTTTTCTTAAAAATAGGTTTTCAAAAATAAAGAAAAAAGGAAAGAAATTAAGACTATCCGCAACACTAGAATTTCTACACTTTCACTTCATTCGATTATGATTCGACGTGAAAGGTACTCATCACCGGTTTTGATTTTGGGGAGACACAAATGGGTATCTACAGAAGCCCCCACTTTTACTGAGTTTGGAGAAACGCAAGTTTCGAAAACAAAAGTCAAAGTATCGATAGGGACGAAGAATGATTCCGAACGTTCTGCGATCCTAAATCATTCTTGTAACGCCGATATCTACAAAACTAACGTTAGTTAAACAGATAAGAGAGTTAAAAAACGCGTATCTTGCACCGTCGAGCACACGTCTCTTAATGTAACCGATTTGTTGCTGTATTGCTGTAGTTCTGTATTTTTTGACGACCTCCTGCAAGCTAGAGAATGCCGCCTGAAGAATGCTACGCTTATAACTGCCTCCAATTCCTCCATGATAGACTTCTACAAGCTAGAGAACGCCATCAAAGATTGCTTCGCTTGAAACGACCTTCTTGCACTTTGTGACCATCTTCCGCAAGCCAGGGAACACGATCGAAGACAACTTCGCTTGAAATCACCTCCAGTTGTTCGTGAAAACTCTCCGCAAGCTAGGGAACGCTGCCGAAGATATCCTCGCTTGAAGCTATCCTCATTTTTTGCGACAATATTCCAAGGAAAATTACCGAAGACCCACGCTTGTCGATCTTGAAAAGCTCGCTTGAACTTTGCTTCCTCTATGCTTGTACGTTGGCGCTTTTGCTGCTTTTGAACCTGTATGTCGGTGCCTTCTGCTGAATGAACCATTATATTGATGCTTTTCTGCTGTATGAACCAGTATGTCGGTGCCTTTTGATGAGCCAATGCTTAGGCGCTTTAAGCTAAGTGAGACGATCATTCATCAGGTCGATCACTTATTGTAATTGTAATCGAGCCGATTACTAAATCATGTCAATTTCTTAGAGGGGCTAACTAGTGTACCAAGGAACCCAAAATATTACAAGAGGTCGAAATAACCGCACTGAGTGGCTGAACAGTCTATCGCTGCTGAAATATTGCTAGCGCCGCATATTTGGCTCTAGCGCCAGACGCTGGCACTAGCGCCAGGTGCTAAGCCTTATCGTCTGGCGCCAAGGCCTGTCGCTTGGCGCTAGAGTCGAGTTTTTCATATATACCCCTTTCTTCTTCATTTTCGCTGTTGTTGTTCATTTTTGCTCGAGAATCGCTCGTGAACTTCAATTCATCCGTTCTTGCTCGTTTCTTAACCGAATTCGCTCAAATTTGTTACAAATCAAATCTTAATTCATCCATTTCCCAATCTATGTAAGTTTTCCCCAAAATCACTTCGGTTTTAATGAATTTCGCGCATGTTTGTTCACGAATTTCTTGAAACTTCGAAACTTGAATTGCTTAATTCACTTTTTTTGTCAAATTTTATGCCACAAAATTGCTTGATTATGTTTATATATTGCCTTGGGAGTAATTTGAGACTTGTTTGACTCAATTTGGTGAAGAAACAAACAAATCACCATTGTTGGACCTCTTAAGGTCGGGAAGAAAATGTGGCTTGTTCTTGATGTTTTTGCTAGCAATTCTTGTCCAATTTGTCACAATAATTACCATAGTAATGCAAAAAATTGTTTGGATGCTTGAAAAATGCCGTATATGCTCAATTTGAATTGTGATCTGTTTTAGTACTACGTACTCTTTTTTTTCGAACATAGTATCATGCGGCTAGGCGAACCTTAGATACTATGGAACCTTAATTTATGATGATTTTGCAAAATGTAGCATGGCTAGACAACAAGATTCGGTTTCACGGTCCCGAGACGTATGTCGGGAGCACGAGCCCGTAGAGGACGACGCCAACCCGTCCACTTCTCTCGGTCCCCTTCCTGAGTGGGACGAGCGGACTCTTTACTTCTCCCCCGTCCACCACATTTCTAAGAGGGTGCGACGTGGGATCACAGTTGGTAGGACACGCTGCCACGGTTCAGGCTGCGACACCTTGGGCGACCTGTACAAGATGTACATCGGCATTGACGGATCATTCATCAGGTCAATCACTTCCACTTTCCTTAGGGTTAGATGATGGTCACCCCGATCGACTTCAGTCTTATTACGAGACTGGAGTTTAATTCTGTTACGCTGTCGTTCGATAACGAGATCAGCGTCTTTTCCCCTGAGGTCGAGGAGCTATTAGGTCCAATTGCTGTCGGGCTCGTGCTGAGGTAGAGTCGACTCAGTTTAGCGCGAAGGGGATTCGTCGTTCGACTCTAGCGGCGGCTTTCGAGGATGATGCGACCACCCGAGAGCAGCGGGTGGGCATCTTTGTGCTTATTTTGCTGTCAAGGACGTTCTCCCCTAACAAGGGTAGTAGAGTGCTGCTTTACTACCTACCCGCAGTCCGTGATCTACACTTGATCGGGACTTATGACTTGTCCAGCTTGGCCTATGTTGACTTTGTTCGAGCGTTACAACACTCGTGTCGACACCGGTCCTTCACGGGGAACGTCGCTCTATTCGGCTTCTAGAGAGTCGTAGAGGTATACTCTATCTCCCTTTAAAGTTTAGCTCTAAGCTTTGATTAGCACTTGCTGATGCCTTTTGCCTTTTGTAGATTTGGTTCTACGAGTACTTTCCCTCGGTTGTGCCGGCGAGACCGTTACCGCGCAGGTTTCCAGTGAGTGCCTCTTGGGGAAGCCGCCGTGCTGGGATGTCTACTGCTTATGTCCGAGATCAGAACATCTCGGTATGGTTCTTTATATATTTGAACACTTTTGCATTACCTTCGATGGATTCTTATCTGATAGACATTCTTTGCAGGAGCCTGACGTGCAGTACCGGCCGTGGAACGACTTGGTTGTCCCTGGGTTAGCCGCGCAGTATACTGTTGAGCGTCGCTACTTCTTGGGGACATACGGAGCAGTTGCATATCTTGGAGAGAGGGTTGCTATTCAGCATTCCTCGGACACTTTTGTCATTCCTACTCCTCCACCGCGTCACATGTTCAACGCCGCGAGGTTGGTGAGCATGTCAGAGAGAGATGGTACCCCTTGGTGATTTTATACGATCCTTGGGAGGTGCTATGAGGAGGAGCTACTACCGTTGTTAGCTCCAGTCCCTTTATTGGCTGAGGAGGTGGCGGTATGATTTTCAGCGTTACCTTTCGTTAAGTAGCCCCCAAGTAACGTTTTACTGACTTTGATTTGCTTTTGTCAGGCTGGACCTACTGAGTTTGTGCCACCTTGTATGTCCATCCATTATCAGGGGACATACGGGCCGATCGAGGAGATGATTCCTCTGGCTCCTAAGGGTGAGCGTTTG